TTTCGGGCTCCACGCACGCGCAGTGTGGAACACGCAAAGCTAACACAAACACACAGCGCTTGCGTTCGCTCGCGTACGCAATACAAACACTCACTACTGTTTCACCGGCTTCCAACGCCAACGAAACGTGCTGCAGTGAGCAGACGGGCAAGCAGGTAGGCGTTCCTTCGAACTTGAAAGGCTGAGATTGGCAAAACGACCGAGCGTAAAAATTAAAGTAACTAAATGCTATGAAAAAATTGGTACATACAAAATATGTCTTTTTTTTATCTCTGCATTTGGTTTGGAAGGATATTGGCGGCGACCTGGGACGTTTTGCCGATCACTAAAAGTCGCGACACTGATAGCAAAACATACTTTACCCATAATGCAATTTTACATGAATTTCTTACATTAGCTAGAATTTTTTATTGATTTTATACTTGTTTTATTTTATTACTTTGTAATTAAAGTTGCTGCAATTGACAGCAGCGATGATATTTAGGACACATTTGATTGTCATAATTGTTCGCGTGTTTCAAATTCGATTATAAGCAACAAATTATATTAGAACTTGAAAAATTACGTATTAAAATATCTGAATTTTAATAATATTATTATTATTACAAATCGCAGAAATTTATGCCCCCAATTAACGCTACGATCACAACAAATACGCAGTTTAGCCGTAATAGTATTTCCAGAATGGTATCAGTTTGTTTTCTATTTAGCGCATGAAAAACTCTGACATCGTTATCAAGATAGACAAACAGTCAAACATTGGATGGAATATAAAATCCTATGTGTGACCGCGTTGCTATAAAAAGAAACTCGCACATACTTCGGCTGTCTGACTCGGATTCCGTCTTTGGATTGTTGCAGTTAGAACAGCGTTTATTAATTTATACGGTTTGGGGACATATTCTAAAAATGTGAACTATATTATTAATCTGCTGGGAATAATGTTAAATTAATGAATCATATAAATACCCAAAATCCATTAAAAGGGCCCGCATTTCAATATTTCCCACGACAATTATCTGAGCGAGAAAATGCAGCGAGAACGTACAAATATCAGCATTGATTTCATCAACAACTACAAATAGCCTGGATCGAAATGTATGTCACAAAATAATGTTTCCGCGAACAACTTCTCTAACTAAAGAATTACGATGTGAGACACATCTTGAGTTATGAAAGAGTCCCAAAATTAAGACCTATGTCGAGAAATTAAATCCAAAATAGAGGTTAGTTTCGGTTTCGCTCCAGTATTAAAACGCGCATCCTTGCATTAATTTTACGTTAAACACCGTTCTTGTTTTCAGGGGAAACAGGTGACCTGCGCTCATAACACCCTAGCTTCCTCGTATTACCACAAATAATTTGTGTCGCTCAGTGAAGCCAGCACACTAGACAGGCTGAACAGCGGCACGCATCTCCGACCCTCACTATAACCGCCATCTTGGAAAATGAGTGGCGCCACCTATAGTTAGTTGGAGTCGCGAATAATGCATGAGCGAATGACGGTAAGGAAATGGAGCTTATTTGAGCGAGTTGGCGTTTTAGCGAATGAACTCCCGACGGCGGGACAACGTACGCCCAAAGAGACCGTGCTAAGCGCAGTCACCCCTCGCTTTGCTGTGCTCTGCGCGGGAATCTCAGGCTCGTACTTGCACCAAATCTCGTCAGAACCGCCAAGGGTTCGGCAAGCTAATGCTAATTTGAGCGAATTGACGTTTTAGCGGATAACGGGGGCGCGCGTTAACCCATCCGCCGCGCTGCGCTTACGCCGCTTCGCGGCGACAGTCTGCGTCGGCTTATTACAAAAATGTGAACCCATTTGGCCCACCCGAAAACGCCGCTTCGCGGCGTCCGACTCCTCGCTAAAGTGTCATTCGGTGAAACGTGGGCGTTCGCTCAAACGTCATTCGATCAAGTGAGTGCCTCCCTCGCTCAAGGGTCATCCGATGAAACGTCATGGGCAGGGCTTGTTCGCTAAAACGTCATTCGATTGAGTGAGTGCCTCCCGTCAGGGAAAGATATTTCCCTTCGCCTTTTTGCCCGAGAACCCGACCCTGCAGCGACGATGGGTGATGCTCTACTGATGCAGCTCAGCACATCAGGAAAAGAGGCAAACAGAATGCCGGCGGCCGAGATGGTCACGGCGATGAACTCCTTCGCCCTTTGCTCAAGAATCATCCGATGAAACGTCATGGGCAGGGCTTGTTTGCTAAAACGTCATTCGATTGAGTGAGTGCCACCCGCCAGGGAAAGATATTTCCCTTCGCCGCAGCGACGACGGGCGATGCTCTACTGATGCAGCTCTGCCTGTCCGTGTTTCCGTCTCCTGCGGCAGGCGCTGTGACAGACCCTTGCTCGACCGGAAAGCATCATTGAAGAAAAAACAAACCGGAAAGTTCGTGCAGTTTGGCGAACTCCTCAATGTTCAGGTGCAGCAGGTGAACACAATGGAGAACCAAAATCTAATCCAATGCTCAAGCCCTTCAAAGAGAACACCCATAAATATCCGTCAGGCTGCTTTCCCTTTCAACGCTTTCGCATAATGGTCTAACCTCAGTCGAACTTTCGTCATACTATAATAGAGCCAGCTGAACTATAATAGGTTCAACCGGCCCTATTATAGTATTGTGCACCAACAAGCTCAACTACAGCCCGTTTCGTCAAACTCCTTTTCAAAAGTTAGAAAAAGTTGGAACTTGTCGAACTCGAACCTCAGCAGGTTCACGACATCGCTATACTTCATGCCATCTTAACATGGACTAAGCCCAAAGACTACGAGCACGGGCGGATAGCTTTGACAGGTAGCCCCGCTGCTCGAGCACTCGTGCAGCCGAGCCACCATCCAACTTGAGCTCGTGCTCATAGCCTTTTTGCTTGGTCCATGTTAAGACGACACGAAGTATAGTTCAAAAAAGCATTGTTTACCTCTGATTTTCTGCTTAAAATGCCGGAGCCATTCTGGCCACGGCCTTTTTCTTCCGCATAAAAATGGAGCACTGGCCGGCATTCTAATGGGCACATCAATCACTATTCAAAAATATTCAAGTGAACTGAAAAAACTACATGGGAACACACAGTGATAGTCCCACCATTTTGAACCGAAAGTGTGTCGCATGAAACCGCCCTGTAACCCTATAAATCCAATCAAACCCGAATGAGGTTCTCGTCAATTATCCCAAGCATGACGAGCTGGCTGGTTAGGCATGTGTTTTCGGGGCCATCTCGGCAAATCTCTAACATACTCGTATGTTTCTTAGCACGATTCTTTACTGAGATCTCAGCTGACGGGGCCGTTCAGGTCACACACCAGTGGTGCAATGTAGGCTACTAAAGCGTTGTGAAGTTCAATAGGAAATGCTGTATGTAATTGTTCAGAGATCTAAGCATCATTAAAGTAGCGATACAGGAGAGTTGGTTGTTTATTAAAAAATTTCAGCATCGCACAGAAGGACGAAGGCTGAAGAGAGGCAAGCTGCAGCCCTTCTACAGTGCTTGTCCTGTTTGCCTCTCTTCAGTCTTCATCCTTCTGTGCGCTGTTGAAGTTTTCCAATAACCATTAATATGTCAGCAAATAATATGGACTAACTGTCAATATTACAAAGAATTTGTCTTGTTCGTTGCACCACAATCGTCATCTCAACCCTTTAGTGACGTTGCAAATTAGTTCTGCATTTCTTTTGAGAATGAAATGAAGGTTCCGAGCTTGAGCTGCTCTCTGCGGAAAAGGTCCCACTGCACATGCGCCCGCAATGTTCTCCCTGGGGAGGCATGACCTCACGCCTCGTCCAATAAAAATAAGATAATGAATCGGTGGACCTCATCTTCAAGAGCAAAGAGGTTAACACCTGGTTTCTTAGCTAGCAGGCTGGTCTATTTTTCAACAAATAAACACAGACTCACATCAGTTTTACCTCAGGTTGCCCACCCTGGGTCAATTACTTTTATTCTCATCGTCACAAAAAGATTCATTCATTTATTTTACAGTCCCTAAGGGACCATAAGGCATCACATAAGTGAAAGGAGAAAGGGGAGATTTCAAGAACAGCAAGATACATATAGTTATGACAGTAAATACATTGATAGTTACAAGATGACACAGCTATACAAAAATTAAGAACCATTTCAAAAAGGAAAAACATGTTAGGGCACTGAAGCAAAATGAAAAGCAAAACAATTAAAAAAGTTAGCACTAAGTTTTACAATACAGCTAAAGCTCTAAAGAGTGCAAATCTAAGAGTTGTGGTGCCATACACTCAAAACAAACTGTGACGTAGATTAATTACATGTTTGTCCATCTTTTTCATTACGAACAGTGGCTCAGTTTGGAAGTTAAGCACGTCGCTCAGAACAACACATTCAGTTGTCACACGCACTACATACAGATGAAGGTGTTCATCGAATTCAATTGTGTCGAGCACATGTGCGAGAACCAGAATTTTTCGATTCACAGCAAACAGTTCACAGACTTGCACAAACTCTGCATGGTCATCTTCACCTACATTCTGGACCAGTGCACTACCCTCAGAATAGACGAAACCATCAATGGCAACCGATTTCAAAACAACTACATTTTCTCGAGCAAGATCATGTACCACAATGTATGATTTGATCGTCTCTGGCAGATGCTCGAACAACACCGACTTGCAGCCTGTGGTGACAATCTGGTTTTCACTACTGACTTGTGTGGCAATGTAAGTCTCTAAGTACTGATGTCTGGTTGCCAACGTTTTGGCAATGTTTTTGAAGTTTCGAACCTTGCGGGAGACGTCCTTAAAATACTGATGCTTCGATTCGAAACGCATCGCCCACAAACTAATCAGAGGACCATACCTCATTATGTAGGAGGGGTAGTGCGTCAAATAATGCATCTTGCATGGGACGGCTGTGGATGGGAACAGTGCTTTAAACTCAAGACATAAAAAGTGGATTAGTCTCTGAAGATAAGGAACATGTGTTATAGGAATCTTCTGACTCATGACAATCTCAACGATCTTTCTAAGCTACAAATATGTTGCCCAGACCTCATTTCCAGCTGGAACAGACTGCCCAACATACAAAGAAAAATGTCTAAAGAAGCAGAGTATCTGGGAAGCACTGCCCCTGATATTTGACTTGCCCTTCAGGTAACCACTGGATATCTCTTCAGGCTTGTTTCTGAGATCACACGGTGCATAGTCAAAGTCAAGAATACATGTATTCAGCGCACTCAGGGTAAAAAAGTTACCAGAGATGAGGTGCGAAATCACATGCTTCATCACAAAAGGTATGACACCTTCTAGCAAATCGTGCATCACGTCGGGAGGCAGGTGCTCTGTTGGCTCAAAGCCAGTGAAGTTCAGGGCACAGGGCTCTCGCACTCCATACAAAGAACTGCACGGTGCCCCTGACCTTAACATGTCAAGGTGATGTCTGTGTCCTGTAGGAGACCGCTGAACGAAATCTTGTTCAAGATGCTTGTGTGCGATCTCATGGTGAAGGGCCAAGCAAAATCTACAGATTCTGCCATGATTAAAACTGCATTTAAACCCACCTAGCCTATGACTAGAGAGGTTGTCTCCAGTCACTGCGAGTACTGAACCATAGATCACCTCCCCATTCACAATAATGCCATTCTTTTCGAGCTCAGCTATGTCACGTACAAGCGGATCAAAGATCTTATGCAGGCCATAAGAAGCGACAAACTTGTCTTTGACCAGCAGGGCCAGGTGTATCCCTGACAAACGGGATCTAACCTTTTGGGGAAAGTTTAGAACAGAGAAATACACTGCTGTTAGCTTATGTTTACCTCTCTTACTTCCAAGAGGGTTGCACACTTCAAACTCATCACTGTATAGTTGAACACAGATTTTCTTCCGGTCACCCTGAAAGTAGGCATGATCATGGTGGGCTGTGCCGTCAAAAACAGTGGACAAATAACCATCCTCCTCGGGCTGGCTCTGGAAGTCGCTCCACGCTACAGGGTTTTCAAGTATGCACTTGAGCATTTTACAGATTGAAACATACTGGAAAGTCTGTCTTTTCCCACTTTTACCTATCCCCAAGAACACACACTCGGGCTCCACAAATGGAAAGCATGCTTTCCAGTAGCTACTCCGACCAGAACTAGTTTGGAGTTGTTCTAGGTCAATAAGAGACTGGGACTTGAGCTGTAGTTGCAAATTGACATCAGATTGTGGTAGTGTACAGTGCTCAGCAAACCTTTCAAGATAGCAGAGGATGTCATTTACAATTTCGTGCAATGTAGACTCTGGAAGCCGTCTTCCTTCTTTCCACTTAAGGAACAGTAGAGCAAGTGGTCTTACTAGATCTCCATTATCTTGCATCTGGTGGTCAACGACTTCCACGTTGTCCTCGACTTCCTCATTGCCCTCAACGTCCTCCGGGGGCAAACACTGATTACTTCTGGCATTACGGGGCTCGTTGGAATGTTCAGCGGTGTCACCTTCAAGTAAGGTGGCATGGGTACGGGTAGCATGCCTCCTGTATGGGACATAACGAGAAAATGTCCTCAGGCAGCCTTGTAGCCCACAAGTAGCCATTCCTTCGTGGCCATGACTGCCGTGAAAATGCCGGAATAACGCCCTCAGGGTGAACGTCCTCCATTTGCACTTAGGGCAGCAAAAATATCGCACTCCAGGCATCTGCAGGAGCGAGAGGACAAGGAGTGAATGTGTAATACACAGTAAGGCACAAGTATCGTGCGTCTGACGACTCGCTTCATTTCATTGTCATCAATACCCATACATGCAATGGCTGCCTGCCTCTGAATGGAGGAAGAAAACGCGCAAGGAAGAAGTAGTCGAAACTTCAACATCGTTGATAGTCAGCTGTACTACGGTAGCTGTATGTAGTCTCCTATTCTTTCTTTCTTAAGCTTTTACTCGTTTTCACGTCAAGAATCATAGTAAAAAGAAGTCCCGATTCTTTTTCACGCGGAGCGCTGAGATACCTTTATGCGCATACAAGGGAAGTTATTGGTTGTTTTATTAAAACATCATCGAGCCATCTTTACTCAATAAAGAAATTCATCATCATCTTTCAGAGTTGTATGCGTCTGTTTTCGTTCCGAATTTGTGTTCATTCTTTCCAGTTATTTAAGTAAAAACATTTTTGTTTGTTTTCTTAACACATCTTGCAGGGTCCGCTTCGCGCTGCGTATGAACTAAGCGCAAAACGCGCTTTTTTTTTTTTTTCTTAGTGAAAACGAGTTTATATACTTCGTTTCAGCTTCGGCCCGAGCGCAGCCGATGTTATGAGCCAAAGGGCCAATCAAACAGCCCAAAACGCGCAGCGTCATGGCGTGCTCTCTGTGCCTGATAGGACTAGCCGGTGGAGGAGCACGCACAGAGACACGGCGAATATTGCTTGGTCCTATCAGCTACAGAGAGCACGCCATGACGTTGTGCCTGTTTCACTGTTTGATTGGCCCTTCGGCTCATCACATCGGCCGCGCTCGGACCGAAGCTGAAACGAAGTATAGTTCAAGATTATCTTTTTACAAGGATGTGCGCACCCCAGAAGCAAGATGGCGGCGTCCAGATGTACTTACGATATCAGATCAAACTGACGAGCGGCATGATTCCAACGCTCTGTAGGCGCGACTCTCGGCTCGTAGCCCCTGCCCCGGCGCCCCGGCTCTTTGCGGGAAGGAGATGACTGGTGCCACGCTTATTTAGTGGCTTTAGAAATAACAAGGTCGTATGCAGTTTTTTTTTTTTTTTTTTATTGCCAAAGTATTTTGTTTTAAGGCATGAGATGACTTAAATGTAGGCTACGTTAAGTAGGGAATAGGTGAAAACGTTGCAGGCGAAATTGACACGAATACACACAACATAACCATAACCAGTCTAAGACAAGCAAAACAAACCGACGACAAATAAAAAAAAAAAAACGTTTATTTGAGTTTGGTTCAGGTTATATAAAAGCAAAGACTCCTTTTCTACTTTTTTTATGCCTCTAGAGATTTTAATTTTTATTCGTGGGAGGGAAAAAAAAAGTTTTTTTTTAGTACGTCTTTTTGCTTTCTGTACCTTCTGTACCTTCTGTAGCTTCTGTACCTTCTGTACCTTCTGTACAAACAATTTCGACGCTATGGGCTTGGCTGCTTTGGGTTGTCTTGGCAGAGCCAATCCAATCCACAAACTCGCGTTCAGCGCCGCGTACAAAGCACGTGGTACAAAGTATACCTGGTATACCGCTGGTACCGCAACCTAGGACACGGAACTAGGCGTAGCTTTTTAGTGGAGCTCGTAAGGTTAAGACGTAGAGGAAATGTGTTTTTGAGTATTTGAAATTTTTAAGCGCCTTTAGAAAACGCGAGTAAGCGCCGTTGGAACTGGTCGTGGTTGGAACCACTACCAGTCGTGTAAACATGGCGAGCGGAATGTGCCTCGTGTGGGTTCCACATGCAAACATAAAGAGAAAATGCCAACTGACGACAGCAACCCTTCGTGGGTTGAAGGATGCGGTGGTGGCCTGCCCTGTACTCAGCGGCCACATCGACACTACCGTCGACTGTTTCCAAGTAAGTCCAACCGTCCCTGATATCGCGGAACTGCCCCGAGTTTTCACAAAAAGATGCCGGGTTCCGACCTTCCTTGTCAAGTCACGGTCGAGACAGCCAAATGTCCAGGATTTGAGTCTGGTACATACATTTTGTTAAATGACGAAGGACGCGCACGGCGTTGCGAAAACGTGTAAGCTATCGTTATGCTTACCACATGCGCGCGCTACGCAAGCCTAAACGATCTACGACGGTTGAGAACTACTCCATAATCACGATGTTCAAATGTGGGGTACGACCGAGAAAGGTAATCCCGGCATTTGCGCTCGCATACACGAACTACTCATTGCAGAGTGCTCATACTCGGCATGGATTTCACGCCTGCGGTTCTAGCCCCTGCAGTAGTGCTACTTCAAAGACTTGAAAACCTTCATCTCTTGAAGCGTCATGCTCACGGTAAACGTTTAGTATGTCTCCTCGCCGTTCTACAAGAAAACTGCGCCGGTCGTCAAGTGCCCTCGCCGACGCAAAGTTCCACTTTTTTCACGTTCCCGGCTCTTGTAGGACCAACCAGCTGATCAAAATAACCACCGCAAAGAGGCAGCATCCGCTCTTCCGGAGACTGCATTTTTCACCCAAGAAGGTAGCTTAAGCTACTTCTCGATATACTATATCGCTTTAAACAATATATAATGTCCGACGAACAGCAGGAAAAAGGAACGGGAAGCAATCAAGTTGCGTAGAAAGCGGACGGCTGCACGGAGCACAAGGTTCTCCGGCTGGTATGTAGCAATGGCGGCACAGGGCAGGGCGTTGTGACGTAACATGCAAGCTATGTATAGACCGTTTTATCGTGGGTAGTGCCATTTTGAGAGGGGAAAGGGCTACCGGCAATTTCCCCCTCGCTGGGTCGGTAGAAAGAGTGAAAATCCCGGATGAGAGGCTTCGTTGGTGTCTGGTGTATGCAGTGCCCAAACTTTGTTCACTCATTTTTCTTTGTTTTAAACTCGCAAACTTAATTAGAGCCACGGGCTTCAATGACGACAGTCCCCCGTTCATTGGGACATTATTGCTCGGTCACAGGGTGCACGAATAACGACAGAAAGCGTCGAATACTGTCCGAGGACCTGTGTAGCTTGCATGGAATCCGGCAAGGCGAGTACGGCTGCAACGTTTTTAAGCTCTATCGCTTTGCACATGGCTGGAACTGATAAACCATTTATCCATTTTTGCTTGCAATGGACCTATTTTAACATAGCCGTTTTTAGCAATCAACAAGCGATACACGACATGGGAACCTCAATTAACTTTTGGAAACACCCGGAGCTGCCCTGATCGTTTCGCTGCGCTGCTCTTATGTTGCGTGTCCGTGTTCTTATATTTCCATGTGGATGAACGATGAAGACGTTCTAGATGTGCTTATATCGAACCGGAGAAAGCCTCACTCAAAGCAACCACGAATTATTTTACTATTTGATGCAATATTTTGAGTACTTGCCGCCAATTTTTATCGCTGGCGTGTTTGCTGCCGCTGTTCCTGCCGTCGCCACACTTACGGATGCCATGACTCAAAGAAAGAAACGTGCACACTGGGCTCGAAAACGCAGACCGCAACACACGAGACATACCCTGCAGCGAATATCCAGTGCTCCAAAGCGCCCAATCAACGGAAACAACCCACCAGCGGCATTCCAAGGAGTGCTTTTGCCGGCTCTCTGGTATCGCGCAGGAGCTCGCGATCCAGGAAAACCTATAGAACTAACTTTTCAACGATTGCCAGCCACACCCGGCGGCGTAAATAAGCCTTAAAACTAAGTGTTGTAGATGATAAAATCGAGTCAATGTCACCACTGCAAAATATTAATATTAAGATAAATTCAGTTACAAAATTTTACAAGCTGAAACAGCAATTATCACGAGAAAACTCGTACGCACCTTGCGTGTGTACCCCATGTTCATCGGCGTTACAGTGTTTGGTGCGCGCTCCATTAACGAAATGTTCCAAGCACAGTCAGGAGGATGGCGTTGAGGAAACATCTTTTCGGTTTACGGACGCAATCCACTGCTGCCGGAGACTGGGGTCATGTGGAAAGCGATTAAGCTTAAGAACGTTGCAGCCGCTCTCGCCTTGGCAGATTCCTTGCAAGCTACATAGCTCCTCGGACAATATTCAAAGCTTTCTGTCGTTATTCGCGCACCCTATGGCCGAGCAATGGTGTCCCAATGACCGGGGACTGTCGCCATCAAGGCCCGTGGCTCTAATTAAGTGTGCAAGTTTAAAACAGAGAAGAAAGCGCGAACAAAGTTCGGGCACTGCAGACACCCAACACCGGCGAAGCCTCTCATCTGGGACTTTCACTCTTTTTACCCACCCAACAAGGGGGACAGTGCCGGTAGCCTTTTCCCCTTTTCTCTCTCGCCCTCTTTCAGTAAAACGGTCTATAGATATATATTGCTTGCATTGACATTGTATCAGCCGCCATTGCTCCATACCATGCCCCTTTGCCCGTACCTTCGGCAGCATACACTTCGCACCATCGAATTTGTTCTCAGCAAGAACAAGTAAAGATGGCCGAGGGGATGGTGCGATATGTATGCTGCAGAAGATACGGCTGATGTGAGGTCACGTGCAAGGCATGTATTGAGAGCTACATCCTAATCTCATCTAAAGTAGTTAGCTCAGAAAGAGTAGCAATTCAGACCGCCATTTACGGCACTCATGCCCACGCGTGCCCACTTGCAGCGTGGAGCGGGTTCGTTTCAGCCGGCACTCCACGAGTGGTTGCACTCCGAGTTTGTTTCATCGCTGACACCCCACGCGTGCATGCACTCGCTGCACCGAGGATATCAAGAGTGCGCCAAAATGCGATCCTGTCATGCCTCGCTTCGGCGAGGAGCGGGAGCGGACGACGAGGGTTTGTCTGCTACAATGTGTCGCGGAACCGAAATGAAAAAAAGTAGATCTTCTGATAGAAATCTTGTCCCGCAGGCAACGGAATCAAATGCGAGCTTGAATTGTGAGTGTCTGCTATTTCA